GAGTGTTTCCCATGTTTGCCCAGGCTGGCCCGGAACTCCTGGGCTCACACAATCCTCCTGACTCCCTTCCAAGTATCCAGGACTGCAGGTGCTCGCCCCTGAGTCTAGCTCATCTTATGAACTTCTCATTAGCTATCAGGTGGATTCACCTTGTACAACCACCCCCAGCATCCATCCCAGGGCTGTTTCCTTTTGTGAAACTGAAACTCAACACCTATTAACCAATAACTATTTCCCCCTGCTAACCTCAAATCTACTCCAGTCTCTGTGAAGTTGCCTATTCTGAGCACTATACAACACTTGTCCTTGGTGGCTGGCTTATCCCGCCTCCCGTGTTCTCAGGGTTTATTATGCCATGCATGCTGGACTTGCCTTCGGTTGGTAGACTGGATCATACTGTGTGCTTTGGTCTGGCTGGACCTTGCTTATCCACCCTGCCTGAATGGAACCTGTACCTGTCAGCTCTTGAGGATGGTGTTGTTGTCAATGTGGACATACAGTCCTTGAACCATGTGCTTCAGTGAAGACCTGAAAATCACTTGCTGACTTAATGTATCTATTTGGTGGTGCTGGGGCTTGAACTCAGGGCTTTAGGCTCCCTAAGGTGATCCAGGCTCCTGGCCCATGACTCTGTGACATGGCTCTGTAGTGTGTTCCCTCCTTCCCTTCTGCTCTTATACATAAGGAAGTCCAAAGGGTCCCCTGTAGCTGACCCTGAGAATCAACTCAGTCTTGCCCAACCCTCCTGAAAAGGGAACCCAAGTGACCAATGTCTCAGGCAAGGTGGGTCAGTCCCTAGCTGAAGGTCAACAGATTGTACATGGGATTTTAGAGTAAAGGGGAAGTTTAGAAATCTTTTAGCCTAACCGTCTCTTCTAAGAGATAGGAAAACCAAACCCAGGTTAGCGGCTCACGCGGTCACAGAATCAGACTCATCTCCACCGGCTGCACAAGGTCATATAGTGGGCTCATCAGGAAAATCAAATCCTGATGAGCCCATTGTACTCCAAACCTGCGAGTGTAGGATGCTGTGTCCCTCCAGACAGCCCCGGCTGAGGTTCTGACCCAGGGTCGATGGACCCTCTATGCCATAGAGTCTGTGGGGATAGAAGGTTTATGAAGCGTGCTAACAGGGGCCTCTTTCCGGAGGCAGATACCATCACTGCCTCTGTTTTATGAAGAAATCCCAGTGTCTTTCACAATCTCTGCCCCGAGCTCTTTCTCAGAATGGTGCATGTGAATCAAAACCGAGTGGTTGTTAATTAACTACACTACAGGTAATTGGTTCCTGTTTTCTTTCTTTTATAAACTCAGCTGACAAGGACCCAGAGGAAATTCTCTGGGTACACTTGGCTCCCACTGTAGGCTTGGGGGTCTGACCAAGTGCCGGCCGTCTTTCTGCCAGGTTAGGGGAGCCAATGCCCTGGAAGGGATAAGGGCTAGGACAATCCAGTGGGAAGAACCAAAAAACCAGGACCTCTTGCTTCCCAAGTGAGCATAAGGTGCCCAGTAAGTGCTTATGGATGTTGGAGGTCATGGTCCTGTGTTGTCCTGGGTTTTGGTCGGTTTACCTTGAGTCACCTTTAACTCTGGGCCACCAGCAAAACTACCTTTAAGGAAGTCTGTTCTTATCTGCCTTTCCCCTGGAGCTGGTCAGGACCCTGTGTGGAGTCTTTGGGGATCAGAGGAGTATGACTTTTTGTTCTAGCTCCCACTTTCTTTTGGTTCTACAGTCTATACCAGTGGCTACTGTGAGGATTACAGATGGTTAGGGGTGGGGTGGGGGTGGGGTGGGTAGTGGGCCAGGAGTCAAATCCAAACAGGACAGGAGCCCTGGGCCTGGATCTGCCCTGACCTTGGAGGAGTCAGCATCCTCTCTAAGCCTTGAGATCCTCACCTGCAACCTGAGGACAGACACTTCCTACTTCCCTGTCCCCAAGGACACAATGCACAGAGCAGGGCTGCTACCACGGCCTCTTTTCTTCCTTGGTGCAGCTGTTGTGTCTCAATGAGGACCTAACGTGAAAGGCCTGGCACAACCTGTGCCACCCAGACCACACTGAATAACTGCTGTCCCCCTGCGGAGAGAGAGTATGGCGGTCCTGGGGCCAGGTGGGCACATCGAGCCTGGCCTTGTTCTGCCCGGAGCAGCCTGGAAGCCCGGCTTCTCTTCTGTGAGAGGTGGATGGAACAGGGCCGCACTGCAGGTGCTTAGGCAGGCTAAGGCAGACCCTGGTTACCATCAACTATTTTTCCCATTGCCCTGTCTTGACTCCCTCAGTCTGCATCTTGGTTTTAGTTGATTTCCTAAGAAAAGAATGTGTCTAAAAGAAAATCGACCAGCCATTTGATAGATCGGGGCTCTTGAGGCCTTCCCAGAACAAAGATGGAGGGGAACCCAGCCACAGCCTCCCCACCCCACCCCCGCCCACCCCTACCCTGCTCAGGGTCTCCAGTCCCTCAAGTGAAGAGTTGGCCACCGCTCCCCGCCCACCCCCACCCCGCTCAGGGTCTCAAGTCCCTCAAGTGAAGAGTTGGGAAGATTCAGAGTGGGGAGGAAAGGAGAAGCCCAGGAGGGGAAGGGGGCAGGGGAGGAAGGCTGTCCCTGGAAGATAAGGTCGTGGCTGCTGTACGTGCCAGGAAGAGCAGTGGCCCCTCCAAATCCTTTGTTTAGAGAACTGAGACTCTCTCAGTGGAATGGACTCAGGAATCTAAGCCCCATCCTTCGTTTTAGAGTTCAGAGAATGAAGGGCCTTGAACTTGTGCCGGCTCTCTGGTTCATCCTTAAAGTACACCTGCTAGGCTGAGCCAAGCCTCCCTCCTGGCCCCTTCAGCTCATCCTCAGTGAGTGGAGGTGCCATGTGACAGCTCAGCCTCGGTGCCTGCCGTGCACCTCACACCCTCAAGGCCCTTTCTTGCTCCCAGCAACGCCTGCCATCGAGTCAGGCCCCCCTCTTAGCTGATCTGAATACAGACTACACAGCAAAGAGGGCTGGACTTGGCTACCCTGCAAACAGCCCCGACCATTAATACTCCCCAGCAGGGCTCTGGCTTCACCCCCTGGGACAGGAGTGACTTGAGGGCCATTGCCCCAAAGCTGAGTTCCAAGCTGTCTTTCCTAATCTTGCCTCCCTCCCCGGTCTGAGGTGAGGTCTTATCACCTAGCCTGCGCTGTTGTTCAGATGCAGCCAAATCCTTTGCCCGCCTTTGCCGGGGTGTGGCAGAGATGCAGCCTTCAGCGGGTGGCTGGTCCCAGGTGGGGGTGGGGCTCCTCCCAGGCTTTAGGGCTTTGGCCTGAATGGTCTGGAGTTCAGGGAAGATAGAGGACTCTGAAGGGGCTCTGTCTCCCAGGGCCATGGGAGCACCACACAGACTAGGGCAGGGATACAAGCCATCTGTGGGAAGGTGATCATATGCTACCCTAGAGGACTCAGCAGGAGACATCTAGGGAGGTCAGCATGGTTCCGCCTTCCGACCCAGGCAGGTTCTTTGACTCATTTGGTCCTCAAATTCTCCCCTAAACCTGACTAGGCACTTAAGTGATAATGCTCACCACTGGAACTGATGGACATTCACCTCCTTATCACCATCCACGAGGAAACAGCAGACCTCCAGGTGTAGTGGATGGGTCTCCTCAGGCCTCTTTCCATGATTCACAGAGATCCCCTCCCTTTCTGGAGAGCAGACTACAGGCTGAAGTGCTGACCGCAGCAGCTCCCAGCCTGCAGCAGCTCCCAGTCTGCCGGGCAAGGCAGGCTTACAATCAAGGCTCCCCTTATCTCAGTTGCCCCAAGTTCCTCTGTAAGTGCCCCCTCCTCAACTCCTGCCAAAAGCAGGCAGTGAGAGCCTGGGGTGGTCAGCAGCGTTCCAGGCTGGATAGCACCCTTAATGTAAAGGAAGTTAGCCCAGAGAAGTCAAGTGTCTACCCAAACTGAACAACAGGCAAACTGAGGGTCTCTCTCTATGGGCTTCTTTGGGCAGGGAATGGGGGTTGTTGTGTTTGAGACAGGGTCTCACTATGTTGTCCTGGCTGGTCTGGAATTCACTCTGTAGGCCAGGTTGGCTTTGGACTCGGGGAGATCCAACTGCCTCTGCCTCCAGAGTGCTGAGACTAAAGCATACACTACCACATCGGGCTTCCCCATGAGCTTTTTAGTGCAAAAATCTGAGCTCAGATCGTGCTCTCTCTCAAAGTGTGTCCAACTGGGACTCAAGAACAGCTCTCCTTATTTGTCTGTTCTCCACAGGGCTTCCTATAACCCAGGCTGGCCCTGAACTCACTATATAGCTAAGGATGACTTTGAACTTCTGATCCTCCTGCCTCTGCTTCCCAAAAGCTGGGCTTATAACCATGCACCGTCGTTCCTGGTTTTATGTAGGGATTGAAGCCATTGCTTCATGCACGCACTCTGCCAACTGAGCTGCTTCCCCAACCCTGCAAATACAGCTTCCTAGAGCCCGGGTCCAGTGTGTCTGCGTCAGAAACCCCAGCTCCATCCTCCCTTCTTTTTCCCACTACAATCCAGGCTGAATCCAGTTTCTAAGCATGTGTATATTTTTCCTGTGACTAATTCACAGTTCTGGGGGGCCAGATGGTCAAAGTCAAAGTATCAGTAAGACTGGTTCCTTCTGTAAGTTCCAAGGAAGCCAGTTTGTGGGTCTCTCCCTGCTCTTGGTAGCAGGCAGCAGTCCTTAGCGTCCCTTATCGTACAGAGGCCTGACTCTAATTCCTGCTTCTGATACACAAGCAGTTCTCCCTGCACCCAGCTTTCCCTCTTCTTGTTGGGACACTGGTCATTTTGGATACAAGGCCTATCTTCAGTCACATCTTAGCTTGATGTGGCATTCACAGGTGCCAGGTGGATGTGAACATTTTGGGAGCATGGAGCAGGGTATCTTTGATCTCTGGAGAAGGCTCCAAAATCCAAAGGAATGATGCTCGTCACTCTTAGCCACTCCCACCCCTTTCTCCCTTGCAGGGGTGACACAAACTCTGTAAAATGCCACGATCCTTCCTAGTGAAGAGTAAGAAGGCACACACCTACCACCAGCCCCGTGCACAGGATGATGACCTGGTTTGGCCTCCTGCCGTAATACCTGGTGAGTCCGAGCTCAGGCTAGGCCCCACCCCATGCCCACTTGGCACTCTGTCCTGATGATGCTGTGGCATCTCTTCTGCAGCTAGAAGAAGAGGCCTAGCTGTCACTGGTTGAATGAGTGAGTGAATGAGTGAGTGAATGAATGAATGAAATACTCATCTCCTCTAACATTTGGGGTTCTGGGAGCATCAGGCTCGGAGCCAGGTAGGAGCATGTGAGTCCAGCGGAGGTTCCCTTACCTCTACCCATCCTGGGCAGAGGATCTGGTGTGAGCAGCAGCAGGTGGGTCTCCCCGGTTTCTCTCTCCCTGGAAACATAGTGCTTCTTGCTCCCTGCAGGCATTCCAGAACTGTAGGTGGTGACTATTGGGTCTTGTTTCCCTCAGTGGTGAAAGAGCATATCGTGAGTAGCAGCCCTGGCCTTGGCACACTACTCCCAAGCCAAACTCTGGACTGGAACACAGTCAAACAGGAGCGAGAGATGCTGCTGGACCAGAGCCTGCCCAAGATGGCCTCAGCCCCAGGTACCCAGCTGGGGTCCCCACTGTCCCCTGAAAGTGCCAGAGAGGAAAGTGATTGGCCTCTGTGGTAGGACTTCTTGGGGTCATGAAGTTGGGAAGGACCAGTGAGGTCACTGGATGCCGCCCAGGCTCTCCACTTCTGCTGGATACTTTTGGTCAGGCACCTGCTCAAGATGAGGACTTCTGTGCTGTGGGTGTGAAGCAGGTCCATAGGGAGGTGGCCAGGTGGTGCCCCAGGGTGTGAGGGCTGCGACTGCAGTGAAGACTTATAGCAATGGTACATATTGGGGCGGCACACCTGAGCCCTCAACAGGAGGTCACCAGATGGAGCATGGGCCACCTTATTTCAAAATTAACTGCCTGAACCAGGTGGTGGTGGCGCACACCTTCAATCCCAGCACTCGGGAAGTAGAGGCAGGCCGATCTCTGTGAGCTGAAGGCCAGCCTGGTCTACATAGAGAGTTCTAGGACAGCCAAGGCTACACAGAGAGACCCTGTCTAGAAGCAAACAAACCAACCAACAAGTAAGTAAAACAAATCACCTGGTGGCCAGAGAGATGGCATGGCAGCTAGGAACGCTCATTGCTCTTCCAGGATCTGAGGCTGCCTGTGGCTCCAGCTAGGGGATCCAGTGCCCTCTTCTAGCCTCTGAGGGCACCTGCACACACGTGGCACACACACAGGTACACGCTTACATAAATAGAAAGTTAAAGCCGGGCGGTGGTGGCGCACGCCTTTAATCCCAGCACTCGGGAGGCAGAGCCAGGCGGATCTCTGTGAGTTCGAGGCCAGCCTGGGCTACAAAGCGAGTTCCAGGAAAGACGCAAAGCTACACAGAGAAACCCTGTCTCGAAAAACCAAAAAAAAAAAAAAAAAAAGCAAACAAATAGAAAGTTAAAAGTAAATCCTTAAAATAAATCTCTGCATGTGTCTTTGCACAGAGGGGCCTCTTGTGACATCCCAACCCCAGGATGGGGAGTCGCCGGTCTCCGAGTCACCCCCTTTCTACAAGCCTAGCTTCTCTTGGGATACCCTGGCCTCCTCCTACAATCACAGCTACCAACAGACCCCCTCCACCATGCAGTCCGCTTTTCTGGAGCGCTCTGTGAGGCTGTACGGCAGCCCCCTCGTGCCCAGCACCGAGTCCCCCTTGGACTTCAGCCTCCGCTACTCTCCGGGCATGGACACTTACCACTGTGTCAAGTGCAACAAGGTAAGTGATGGGCATGAGTGGCATGTGGGCATGGAGGGGCCTCTGGGTCCCTCCTACAGCCTCCATTTCATAGACAGGAAACTGCCACAGAGAGGTAAGGGGACTCCCTGGGAAACACAGCAGAAGAACAGCAGGACCACCAATGCAGTTCCCTTCCCTGCCCACCCTGCTCTGGAGCTGGGCCTGTGGCCCGCATGACCACAGGCCTGCCTCCTTCTAGGGGCCTGACGCTCTGCTCTGCTCTGTCCCAGGTGTTCTCCACCCCTCATGGGCTAGAAGTGCACGTTCGCCGCTCTCACAGTGGAACCCGGCCCTTTGCCTGTGACATCTGTGGCAAAACCTTTGGCCATGCTGTGAGCTTAGAGCAGCACACGCATGTCCATTCCCAGGTGAGCAGCTGGAAAAGATTGAAGGTGACTAGATGGTGGGCGAGGCGGGGGAGGGACTTGCCTCCCTGGGTCTGAGTCTCTGAACATACTGGGTCTCTGATTGGCTGAACTGGCTTCACATCTGGTTGGAAGAAGCTCTGGAGACTTGGGGGTGGGGGCTGGAGTATGCCTGTGAGGCTCGGAAAACATCCTAATGCTCTGAGTGGCCCTGCAGGCATTTTCAATTCTTAGAGTGCTAGAGTTAGGTTTAAATGCATAGCTCACCCCACTTATCTCTGCCAGTTGGGACCCAGTCTTGGGACCCTTTCCTTCCAGAGTGGAACAGGTGCCTATTCAGCCCTCTACCCATTTCCAGAGAGGTCATATAGGTCAGATGGAAGTGGATTACTAACACCTGGGTTGATGGGAAGGGTGGGAAGTGACCTCAGGAGCTTCCATCCCTCAGCAACAGACTGGGAGCTGGCCCTGTCTGCAACTTCCCAGCCTCCTACAGCCCATCCAGGCCACTGCTAGAACTGCCCCAATGCACAGAAATGAAGAAATCTATCAACCCCATGCTAAATGGCTCACCCCAAATCATATATATGGCTACTGGGCTGGGGAGGTGGCTTAGTTGGCAGAGTGTTTGCCTAGCATACATGAGGCCCTGGGTTTGACCCCCAACACCAAATGAACCAGGAATGGTTGTGCACATAACAGCCTTCGGGAGATGGAGGCAGGAGGATCAGAAGTCCAAGGTCATCATTACCTACATAGTAAGTTCAAGGTCAAGCTGGGCTACATGAGAACCTGTCTTAACCAAATTGATTCAGCATGTCACTGTTCCAGGCAGGAGGAACTCATTCTGGGTTACTGGTGAATTCCTGGAAAACTTAGATTAGTTGTTTCTTCAGTTGTCAACAGATGTACTTTGAGGCTTACTTTGAAAAGCATACTGTGAAAGGCACAAGGAACTATCTCATAGGAAGCCAGTCAGGCCCCAGCCTCTGTCTAAGCTGAGGAAGCGGGAACAGGGGTGGGGTTCTTCCTGCTCCTCTAGACCCCTGTTCTTGAGGTCACCCCAACGGAGTGTCCTCTTTCTCAGGGCGTCCCAGCCGGGTCCAGTCCTGCGCCCAGCTTGGCTGTCCCGGGCCTCGAGGCCCCACCTGCACCTGACCCCCCCAGGGCCTCGTTTCCTCCGGCAGGAGCGTAGCTTCGAGTGCCGGATGTGTGGCAAAGCCTTCAAGCGCTCATCCACCCTGTCTACCCACCTGCTCATCCACTCGGACACTCGGCCCTATCCCTGCCAGTTCTGTGGGAAGCGCTTCCACCAGAAGTCGGACATGAAGAAACACACCTACATCCACACGGGTGAGTGCACCCCTGCCGAGCCTGGGGAAAGGCCACAGGGTCTCCTTGCCTGGCCCCTGGGCACCCCATCATTTGCCAAGAGACCCACTTGAGGAGGGGCTGGAGGGCCGGACAATCGCTCAATGTAAAGAAACACTAGAGGGATAGCCAAACAGCGCGGACCTGTGGGCAGAATGCGGACAGCTGTGGATTATTCATCCACCCACTCACAGCTGTTCGCTCTGTCACACTCTCCATTGTAACTCAGCGCTTGTTTGGGTCAGTCCTTGCACAAGGTCTGTGCCAGCTTGGGCCGGCTTAGATTCCAGAGAGAGACATTATCGGTTACTTTGTGTGTTATATGACAAGGATGCCTGTTGGAAGCAACTTATGAGTAGGGTTATTTTGTCTCACGGTCTGAGAGTGGAGTCTGTCGTGGCAGGAAGGCATGGCAGCAGGAGCGTGAGGCAGCTGGTCACACGACCTCCACAGTCAGGAAAGAGAGGGAGGAAGACTGGTGCTCAGCTTGCTTTCTGCCTTTTATGCAGTCGGTCCAGGACCCCAGCCCATGGAACAGGGCCAGCCATATTTAGGGTGGGCCTTCAGTTAACCCAATCTGGAAAATTCCTCACAGACATTCCCAGAAGTGTGTCTCCTGGGTGATCCTAAGTCCCATCAAGTTGGCAATACTGATCATCAGAGAGGCATTTTTGTTTGTTTGTTTGCTTGCTTGCTTATTGAGACAAATTCTTACGGAGCCCAGGCTAGCTTTGAAGTTAATATAAAGCTGAGGCTGACTTCAAGCTCAACCTCAAAATTCCCCTGCCTCTACATCCAGGGTGTTCGGGTTATAGTTGTGTACCACCACACCTGGTAAGCGGTGTATCAGTTGCAACTCTTCACTTTCCCTTCCTTCCTTCCTTCCTTTCCTTCCTTCCTTCCTTTCCTTCCTTCCTTCCTTCCTTCCTTCCTTCCTTCCTTCTTTTCTTTCTTTCTTTCTTTCTTTCTTTCTTTCTTTCTTTCTTTCTTTCTTTCTTTCTTTCTTTTGCTTTTTGTTTATGGAGACAGGGTTCCTCTGTCTCCTGGAACTCCCTCTGTAGACAAGGCTGGCCTCATATTCAGAGATCCACCTGCCTCTGCTTCCCAAGTGCTAGGATCAAGGTGCACACCACACCACCTGGCTATTTTCCATCATTCTCTAAGGTTGGCCATAAAAGAGACATAATGAATGTCTGCAGGGTGGAGGCTGCCTGGCACTGCCACCTGACGCCACCCTGCTGTTTGCCCCTTCCCCAGGTGAGAAGCCCCACAAGTGTCAGGTGTGCGGGAAGGCCTTCAGCCAGAGCTCTAACCTCATCACCCACAGCCGCAAGCACACAGGCTTCAAGCCCTTCAGTTGTGAGCTGTGCACCAAGGGCTTCCAGCGCAAGGTGGACCTACGCCGTCACCGTGAGAGCCAACACAACCTCAAGTGAGACTACTGGCCATCCTGCTCCAGTATGTCTCATTCCAAGGCCAGCCTTACAATTCTGACCCTTCTCCCGAGTCCTCCCAGAAGTAGCGCTGGCCAGGAGACTCTCTGCTTCTTCTGAGGCTCACGGAGTTGCCAGGCAACCTCAGGCAAGCCACACTCCTTCTCAGACTGCCATAAGGTGTAGGAGTCAGCTCTGGCCTTTCTGAACGGAAGCAATCACATTGATGTCCTCTGGTCTTGTCCCCTGCCACAGCATAGAAAGCTACAAGACCCTGGTGGACAAAACTGAGATGCTAAAACCAGACAAGAGCCAGGATCCACAGAGAACCCCTCCTGCATCTTCTCTGGGCCTGGGGACTTTAAATTTTTAAGGATTCTCTTTCTGGTTGCCACAGTCAGAGTTGCCTCCTGCCCCAGCTGGAGGTCTGGCACCCCTCTGCTTTAGCCAGATCTGCTGGCTGCCCCCCCCCCTCCCCACCACACCACATTCATCTGGAGTCAGGCTCCGCAGTTGAACCACAAAGCTGGGAAACGAGGAACTGGTGTGTCAGAAGCCTGTTCCGCTCAACTGATGTAAATAAAAATAAAGATGGATTTGGCTGTTTGTAAAGTGCCTACTAGGTACCTGGACTGTCTGGGGACTTTAGGGCCTTGACAAGGAGCTAACAGACCAACTGAGAAGCGTCATGACAGACACCTGGGAGGGCAGGGCTAGTGCCACTGCGGGCAGTATCAATCTCCTGCAGCAGCCCTGAGGAACGGCCACACTCTGTAGTGTTGCCTTGTGAGTATGGCAAAAGGAATTTGGCAGGAGTGATTAAGTTAAGCCTGGGGTTGCTTCCTGACTAGCTGTGTGACTTCAGGTGGGGCCATGAACCTCTCTGGGGCTCAGCTTTATTGAGTTACACTGTTATTACAACAGTCCTGTCCTGGCGGGGATATTAGCAGAAGTCTGTGAGATTCCCCATGGAAAACAGTATCCAGGACCTAGTACTCACAAGCACTACCAAGCCCTCTGAATTCCCACTTAAAGTCCTGCCCCTCCAATAAAGCCACACCAATGCCACCTTCTCCATGGAGCCTCCCTTGGTCATCCCAGCCAGGGGCTCTCTCCTCTGACACTAAACTACTTGTGTCTCTTGCCCATGACCCAGGAGCTGCTCACAGTTCCTCTGTAGACAGTTTTGGCCTTGGTAGAAGGTATAGACTCAAGAGTTTCCATACATTTTCTCCATTCCACACAACCCCCACAAGGCATGTGACATTGTCCCATTTTACAGATGAGACAACAGAGGCTCAGAGAGCCCAGCCTATTGAAGATAAGAAAGTGTTCAGAAAAGAAATCCCATGAAGGCTTGGCTGTAGTCGTGGTGTGGTGCTTACATGGAATGCGTGAAGCTTTGGGTCCAATTCCCGACACTAAAAACAAAACAAAACAAACAAACAAACAAAAAACCGAAGCAAAGCAAAGAACTCTCAAAGAATTCCATTGTCTTTAAATAGCTCCTCTGCAAAACACAATTTAACTCTGTGTGTGTGTGTGTGTGTGTGTGTGTGTGTGTGTGTGTGTGTGTGTGTGTGTGTGTAGGCCAGTTCTGCCTTGAGTGTTAGATGGCTGTATTTGTTATGTTTCTATTTCTATGATAAAACACTATGGCCCTTTAGTGGTGGTGAATGCCTTTAATGCCAGCACTTGGGATGCAGAGGCAAGTAGATCTCTGTGAGTTCAAAGCCAGCCTGGTCTACAGAGTGAGTTCCAGGAGAGCCAGGGCTTCACAGCATGGCCAAAGCTACTTGTGGAAGGAAAGGTTTATTGGGTTTTATGGTTCCAGAGAGATGAGAGTCTGTCCCAGTGGGAAGCCTGGCAGCAGCAGGTATAGCAGCTGGAGCAGGAAGCAGAGGCTTCACATCTTGAACAGCAAGCATGAAGCAGAAAGAATGAACTCAAAATGGCACAAATCCTTAAACTCAGATCCTGCCTTCAGTGACATACTTCCTTCAACAAGGCCACACCTTCTAAATCTCCCAAACAGTGCCATCAAGTGGGGACCAAGTGTTCAAATGCCTGAAGCTGTGGGAGACATCTCATTCAAATCACAAGGGTTGTCCCTCTCACAGGGACCAGGGGCTCATTGATTGAGCTAGGTGGGAGGGCCCAAGTCAGGCCAGCAATCCTCCTGTCTCTGCCTCCCAAGCACTGAGATTACAGGTGTGCACTTCCACACCTGGCTATTTTTGTGAGTACAGAAGATCACATTCAGGGCCTCATGCTTGCAAGGCAAGCTCTTTGCTGACTGAACTCTCAACCCAGGCCAACCCTGGCCTCTTAAACTGACTTGTTTAGGGTGTTTGGCCCCCTGATGTGAGGCTCTTCCTGCCCAGACAAGGCAAGGAACTGGCCCAAAGCCACACTTAGTGTGGGGTGAGGGTGGGATGGAGGTAGGGAGGGCATCCTGCACCTCTCAGGTAAGGAGATAAAGTGTGACGGTAGGGGATGGGTACATGGGTACTCTGTGCCTACTTGTACTCCTGCGCATGTGTGCATACAGCCCCCCTCCAACACACACACACACACACACACACAGACCTGCTTTGCATGTGTCTTGTTTGCTAAACAAAACCAAGACAATATCAGGGTTTCAGCCACTTCTGCAGTGTGTGTGTGTTGAGGGGGGTGCAGGGGAACAGAGACGGGAAAACAGGTGAACACCTTCCTCCAGATTGGCTGAGGTTGAGGGTGGGGGAGTCAGGGGCAGTCAGTTTGCTCCTCCATTGAGAGCCTCCATAGCAGGAGGGGAAGGGACCACAACAGCCTGAGAGTAGTGAGTGGGCTGGCGCTCCGTTTCATATCACAGACCAAGGTGGGTGTGGGCGCAGGTACCAGCGCCCAGACTGGGAAGACTTTATGGCCCAGGCTGGGCTGGCATGGCTCCATGCCCAGAGGTGAGTGGGGCTCTGCAGGACAGGTTTCACATGGGCAGCAGCCCAGGAGCTGAGGAAGCTTGGAGACACCTTACAGACGGGCTTGTGATGTGTCCAGAGGGAGCACCTTACAGACGGGCTTGTGATGTGTCCAGAGGGAGCACCTTACAGACGGGCTTGTGATGTGTCCAGAGGGAGTACCTTACAGACAGGCTTGTGATGTGTCCAGGGAGAGCACGGCTAGCGACAGAGTCTCCAGTGTCCATCACGACACCTCATGCTGAGGGAGGCTGATTCAGTGGGTGCGGTGGGGCACTGCCCATTTGCTGGAATTTGAGGGAAGTACAAGACCCTTGCTCTCTACTTCTGTCGGTGCCTCTTAGCTTCCTATCTGGCTAGACACTCCCACCACTAGTGTCGCTGTATGAACCGAGAGACACCACCCAGCCCTGTAAAAATCACCTGTCACTTCCATTTGCCACAGACCCAGAGATGGTGGCTCTCACTCTCACACAGACAGTTAGCAGCCATGTCAGAATCCTGCTCGCCAAGCCAAATCCTGCAGCTCAGCCTCCCATTGGGAGCCCCCATTTATATAGAACATGGAACAGTGTGGGCTCAGGACTTGTAGGGTGTGGTAGGTGGACATGGGGGTTGGGGGTGGGATTGCCAGCCCTAACTCCCCTGTGGAGGGTAGGGAAGGTATGGAGGGGGAAACTATACCAGAGTGGTGCTGGTGAGTCCCTACAAAGCAAAAACCAGGCTCTGCTGGGCCCTGAGCACTCCAGAAGAACAGCAGGTCTTCTACATCACATCCATGGCCCTCCCTCCGTGGGAGCACACTCTTCTTTCCCTCTCATAAGTCCACTGGCCTTATGCCCAAGCTCAGGGACCCCAGAAAAAAGTTTTCAAACTCTGATTACCCCTTGACCCTTACTCCACTCCTAGGGAGGTGATCAAGAGATGAGTGGGCGCAGAGCGTGTGTACATCCTGTCCGTAAAAAAGGAAAGTGCATCCCCAGCACCCAGGAGAACCAGTTGGCCACAAGGCTGGTGGCACATCTGTACACAGTCTGAAAAGGGTGAGTGTGCTTTGTAAGATTTGGTCTGACGGGGCATCTATACGCCTGCTCAGATGCAGGAGAACACCAGAGCAGAAGGGCTGTTTGTCTGGTAGCCTTCATGCTCACAGTCTCTGAGCCTGCCAACCAAGGATGGGAAATTTATGGAGGATAAAGAGCCTGAACTAACCATGCCCAAGCATTTTCTCACTCTTTTTTAAAAAAGATTTATTTACTCTTATTTTACGTGTATGTGCCTGTGTGATTTTATGTGCACCACATGTGTGCAGATGCCTGCAGAGGCCAGTGAGGGCATTGGAGCCCCTGGAACCGGAACTACAGATGGTTATGAGCTCACCATGTGGGTGCTGGGACTTGAACCTGGGTCCTCTGCAGGAACAGCAAGTGCTTTTAATTGCTGAGCCACCTCTCCTGTCCCCCTTTCCCATTATTTCTCATTACTCCTGAACAATACAATGTAACACTCACTTACTTACGTAGCACTTGCATTGTGTTAGGGGTTATAAAGTCATGAAGCAATGGCTTAAAGTATGAGAGGAAAGTTGGAAAAAGAAACCTAGAGTATACGTGAGGATGTGTGAGGATGTGTGTGGGCTATTTGCAAATAAAAAAAAATAGCCCATACCAGACCATAGCACATGCCTGTAATCCCAGCTCTCAGAAGACAGAGGTCAGAGGGTCAGAAGTTCAAGCTACACAGAGGGTTCAAAGTCAGCCCCCACTATGAAAGATCTTAATCTCAAAAGAACAAACAACAAAATAAAGCCACAAATAAATACTGGGTCATTTTATATGTGACGCGTATCCATGGTGACTCCAAAACCAATTCTCCACTGACACTCAGGGCCCATTGAGTATTTTACAAAGGCAAGCCTTGAAGAAGGTCCACAAGGTACTGTTAGTCCAGGTTTCTGGGGGCTGGCAAAGAGGGGTGCCCTCATTCTTCTGCTGTTTGTCAGAGAACCTTGGACTTAGGGTATGTGTATGCCTAAGAAATGGAAGAGAAAATAAACTTGCAGAATTAACACCTTCCCAAAGGAAGTTATTTCAAGTGAAAAGGTGGTTTAACAATCAGTACACATGGGCTGGAAAGTTGGCCAGCAGTTCAAAGCAAGTACTGCTTTTGAAGTGGGCCTAAGTTTGATTGCCAGCTCCCATGTTAAGCGGCTCACAATCCCATCACTCCAGCTCCAGGGAATCTGATGCCTCTGACCTCTGTAAGGCACCTGCATGTACTCTCTCTGACACCAACCAAAACACACATATACATAATTTTTTTTAAAAAAATCAATATGCAGGACTGGGAAGATGGTTCAATGGTTAAGAAGACTGTCTGTTTGCTATTCCAGAAGAGCCAGGTCTAATTCTCAGTGCCTACATGGTGGCTCACAACCATCTATAACTGGAGTTCCAGAGCCTCCAAAAGCACTAGGCACACACGTAGT